CCTTGCACAATCCATCGATCCAGTTCGGAACAATCAAGCACATACCTTGCAAAGTGATGTGGATCTGAAGTAGAGGTGGGAAGGTAAAGGCTCAGGTGAGGTGGAATGAGACGTTGATATAGACGTGCACGCATGAGAATAAGGCGGTGCCCAGGATGGATCTCCATCGGAGGAGGCCGGATCCGCTGGGGAGGAGGTCGCTGTAGTACCTGCCATCTGTGCGATGGATCACGGGGCTGGCAGGCAGGGGGAGGGGATAGGAGGGAGCGGGTGGGCTAGAGCGCAGATGGCGGGTGCCCCCGACGACGGCTGGGAAGGATGGTGGAGGAGGTGGATGAGGATGGCGGCGGCGGCGTCTGCGGTTGCGCCTCGTCCACAGCCGTGCTGGTGGTGGTCGATGCGAGAGCCGGATGGCGTCGGCCAGAATCAGGCAGGGGCGACAAAGATTTAGAGGAGAGAGAGAATGGAGGCGATGAGCGATGGGAGGAAGGGCCACCGGCGATTGGGGTGGCCTCAGATCCGCCCTCCGTGGCCGCCTATTTCATGGGACGAACACCCGTGCTCACCGTCGGGCTCGCCTTCGGCCGCTGCCTCGCGGACATTCACGACGTAGAGCCCCTTCCTCCGAACCCATTTGCCAGGGAGGCAGCGCCATCCTTCATCGCAGAGAACGAGTCCACACTAAGATCCCAACCAGATCGTGATTGCGCCTCCCCAAACCGCAGCGGCACATCCCACTCCAACGACCAACCTATATGAGGCGGAGGGTTAGTGTAGGACGCGAGCGCCGTCACCATGGACGTGGGGGACGCCGTAGGTGGGAAGGAGGCGGCGACGGCGTCTGTGTCAGGAAGATCGCACGACGGCGGCGGCGTTTACTCGAGGGGATCGAGAGGAGCTGCGTTTGGTGCCGAGTGGGTTCTTTGGTGCGTGCGTGGGGCTGGAGATTGTGATAGGTGATCAGGTGAGGGCGTGCCACACCTAGATCGATAGCCTTACCATACCTGGTGGTAATTTAAATTTATTACCATATTCGATATTTCCCGAGTTATGGCCTTACCATACCTGGATTGATAGCCTTTGGGGTAATTTAAATTTATTACCATATAATTACCATATTTAAAATTTCCTGAGTTATGACCTTACCATACCTGGATTGATTTATTACTATACATGGATTAATTATGATTTATTACTATATGATTTATTACTATACGTGGATAGCCTTACCATACCTGGTGGTAATTTAAATTTGTTATCATATTCGATATTTCCCGAGTTATGGCCTTACCATACCTGGATTGATAGCCTTTGGGGTAATTTAAATTTATTACCATATAATTACCATATTCAAAATTTCCTGAGTTATGACCTTACCATACCTGGATTGATTTATTACTATACGTGGATTAATTATGATTTATTACTATATGATTTATTACTATACGTGGATAGCCTTACCATACCTGGTGGTAATTTAAATTTATTACCATATTCGATATTTCCCGAGTTATGGCCTTACGATACCTGGATTGATAGCCTTTGGGGTAATTTAAATTTATTACCATATAATTACCATATTCAAAATTTCCTGAGTTATGACCTTACCGTACCTGGATTGATTTATTACTATACGTGGATTAATTATGATTGATTACCATAAATACGTTGGGTATTGCCGGTCAGACGAGAAAAGAGAAAACCCGGTGGAAGGGGCTGATGGGAGGTGGGACGAAGAAAAACCGATTGAAAATAAACCGACTGAAAGTGAGGAGGACTATTCAACCAATTCGTACATTAAAAATAGAGATATGAAATTACAGCTAAGAACTTGAAAAATTCAGCATCGTGGTGGTGCGTCGTGACTTGAGCTCATTGTCACCTTTGGGCCTCCATCTTACCCGAGCAATCTTGTTGAAAATCAAGGGCGTGAAAAAGCACAGTCCAGATGAGATTGGCCAGCTGTGCCAATTATTATTGGACTATTCCTATTTCGCCAAGAAAAATACCAAGGTTTTTAATTTCGGAAGCAAAATAATTTCGGACCTCACTAAAATATGTGACATTTCGGAAATTCCGCATATTTCAGAAATTATTTGGGATTTTGGGATTTCAAATTTTACTTAATTTTAATGAATTTTAACATAATTTAAATTTATTTTGAAATCAGTTTGAATCTGCATCAAAATTTCAGGGTTAAAATAATTTCGGAGCCCATTGAAATATGCGAAATTCCAGAATTGTTGAAAATTTTAACCCTGAAAAATACCAAGGGCATGGAAAACAATCCGCCAAAAAATCATTCCGTAGAACAAAAAACGCCGGCTACCAGGTGATCCCAAAAGATCGCTTGTGTTAAATTTGATCACTGCCAGGGAAGCAAACAAGGTTGCACATATTTTAGCCCGATGGTGTCAAGATGCTAGTGTTTGTCACCAAGACCCTTCAAATTTTATTTTTATGCAATTTGTTGATGACGTAAGGGCATCTTCAATGCGGACCCTCAAACTGCCCGCAACCGCCCGGACCATACAGTGTAGACGTGTTTTGTCATCCAATATGGACCTTTATCGGTCCTCCAACCAGTTCAGACGTGCTCTTTCCCACAAATTGAAAGCAAACTGAGGGGAGGGGGCTTTGCGGGAGTCCGGACCGCCACCACGTATGACTCCGACACCCCCGTCCCATTGAAATCCCCCTCCCAGTCCCATACTCTTCCACTCTGTCCCTGCTATCCTTTCTTTGCATCCGCGCCTCCCTCCTCTGACGCCGCCGCTGAACTTCTCCGGCCGCCACCCAAGCATTGTCAGACGTCCGTAGCTACCACCCACGCGCCCGCTCGCCTTGTACTACGGTGCCGTCCAACCAGAATCCATCCGAGAAGCCACTTACCCTCCGCTCCCTTGTGGACGACGTCCACAGCGGACACCATGCCTGGCAGGTGTTCAGTCAAATGTCACTGAGCTTATTTTCAAACTTCGTGTCATTTTTTAGAGTAAGAAGGATGGCGGGGTACTCGACCATAAAGGATGACTTTTTGTGTGATGTGTGGTTGGCCGTATCTACGGACTTCGTAGGCAGGAGCAGAAGATGGCTCTTTTGGCAGCACGTACACGGTGCATTTCACGTGTGAAAGCACATTACACCCTACGACACACACATCATCCATGAATACAATGTAAACTCGTTAGTGTATCGATGGTACACAATCCAAAACTCCGTCACGAAGCTTTCTAGCACGGTTGATTGGTTAGAGTCAATGTGGCCATTGCACGTGGCAACCATGAAGATCATAAGTTTTGCTTCTTCTTGCTCAATTTATTGGTTAATTGACTCATTGGTTCACTCAATGTTATCCTATTGTGTAGTATGTACACGATGCCATGATGTACCATATGGCAGAGGGCGGACCATTCACACACACACACATTGTTGAATGAAGCTCAAAGAGAAGTATGTGTGGGACAACATGATTCATCCATGAAAAAACTTGTGGAACATCCAGTTAATCTTGCTGAATTTGAATTATTGTTGTACTAGACTTATTTGCATGCTATGCATGGATGATTTGTGCTATTTTTTATCTGAACTTTGATGAATTGCATTGTGTTTGATGAAGGTTAATTGGAACCTGGCTTGAAATTTATGCAAATAGATTTAGATCATTGGCTCTCGTATTCGTGCGGCCGGATAAGGTGTCTAGTTTGCGGGTCAGTGTTGAAGATGCCTTGACTATATTCTACACATTGAACGCTCCCTCAAGAAAAAAATTCACTCGTGTTTTTTTTACGGGAAGGCCTACAAGACTAGCTTTATTAAAACTTCGATAATGCATACATCGTCTGTCAAAGAATTGGCAATAAAACCTGGAGGTGCATCCACCCAAATAGATGGAATGTTTGCATGCCCCCACTCTGCTAGCACATGAGCTATTACATTCGACTCTTTATTACAATGTTGGATACTAACCTTCCCCATATCTTTAAGTAACTCTCTGCAATCATCCAAAATTGGAGCTGCTACCATCGAGTGTCCTTCGTCAAGTCGTAAGGCATTCAACACAATGCTATTGTACATCCGTATGAAGACATTGTTACATCCCATACGCTGGATAAGCTTTCGGCCTTCAAGAAGTGACGCGGCTTTCGCAGAAATTCACTCGTGTTTATATTTAAAAAGAGGGGGAGAATTGCGAGAATGTGCGAATCAGAAGGGCCGCTTCGGCTAGTCATAATGAGAATAACTTCTGAATAACATTTAAAAAGAGAAAGAGAATTGCGAGAATATGCATAAAGCTTAGCATCTTTGCATTGGAAGAGGTCTAGTAACATGTTACTCTCCACTTTGACCAGCCTTGGTGAAAGTTCCAGGACGCGGTGGGCCCGGTTCCGGGTTCGTCGCACGGTTTCTCTGATCTCTCCCTGTGTCGAAGCGTCGCGGCTCTTCCTCCCGTTCGACAAGCGCCAAGGGTAGGGTTTCACCTCGTCGCCTCCAATCCTCGCCGCCGCCGCCGCCGTCGCCTTCCACCTCCCGCCTCCGCTCCGATTCCGCCTCCCTTCCCGCCGCACACCCGCCTCGCCCGCGTCATCTGCCGCCCACCGTTGCCGCCAGCCACGTCTGCCGAGCTCCTTCGCCAGCAGGTCGACACCACCGGATCCGTCCACCCCGTGTCGCCGCCGAACTGCCGTCCCCCGTCTCGCCGCCGTCCAGCCCGTCCACGGCCTCGAGCTCGCCTCCGCTCAGGTAGACCTCGGCCTCCACTCTTTGATTATTATTGGCCAATTGGAAATAGGCAATGCGTGACACACTAACTAGCCTGCCTGCCTGCCATGTTAATTCGACAAATTGACGAGTGCCCCGTGATCAACAGAATCAAAATCATGTGTTGACCTGTTATAAAACTTCATGATATCCGCCAGCTGCTATACAGGCACGAAAGGCTTACTCATTTGTTGTGCTATGTTTTGCAGTTTAGCTGGACTTACGAGCTCGGGAAAATTATGTTTAAGAATACATTCCAGTCTGGGTTTCTATCGATTCTCTACAGCCTTGGGTATGTAGCATGGTGGCCTTGTATTGGTCTCACTGATTTCTTTTCTTTAGTCTGGATCCCTCATGTCTTGTGTTTTCCCCTGTGTTATTTGGTCAGGACCAAGCCGTTGCAGATATGGGACAAGGAAGGTGAGTCAGTAATGCCTGGGGTTCTCTAAATTTCAGTTTTTACTCCTATGCTGTAGAATGTAGATACTTCTGCCCTGGCAACCTAAAGCATTATTTGCTTCTTACAGCAAAGGCAGGTCTGGTATAGTTAATTTGCAAGCTGTTAGTCTTTTGATGAATGCCTTCTGTTGTGTTTATGGTGGAATGTTCTGCTTCTCAGCATGCTAACTACCTATTTGAGACCTGAGCCTGTTTTTACTATGATGATTTGGGTGTAGCTATGGATAACATAATAATATTGTATATTGACCAGTTAAGGACAGTGGACTTACTTTCGAGTATGTGTTTACATGTGCTTCAGGCTGTAATTTACCTTCTGCTGCACGAAATTAAATACATCTGATTGTGATCAATCATGATCTAAATGCCATTGTGTCAACTTCTGAATATTTTCATCTTTATAAACATTGTCAGGTTCAGTTACTTAATACCTCGTCTGCTATGCAGTTGTTGATGGGCACATTAAAAGACCCCAGGATGAAGATATTAAGTCTAACGTTCTTGAAATTGTTGGAACAAATGTGCAATCAACGTATATCACTTGCCCAGCTGACCCTGCTGCCACTCTTGGAATTAAGCTTCCATTTCTTGCCCTCGTTGTGAAGAATCTTAAAAAATACTTCACATTTGAGGTCCAAGTTTTGGATGACAAGAATGTTCGCCGACGATTCCGAGCATCAAATTTTCAAGTCTGTAAGAGCTATGGTTCCATAATCGTTTCTGTAGAAGTAAATTCTGTGCGGTGCTTAACTGCTTATTGCTTATCTATTAGATTTGAAAGTGTTCCTTCACTGTGCCTTTCCTCATGTTCGTTTGATTTGTATTTGTTAATTTAATTGTTATCAAATGCTTTTTGCTGTTAAATCCATTGGTTGAGTTTTCACTGTATTAGTATTAATAACTGCTACTTACGATGTATCTATTAGATTTGAAAGTGTTCCTTCACTGTGCCTCTCCTCATGTTCTTTTGATCTGTATCTGTTAATTTAAGCGTTATCAAGTGCATTTTACTGTTAAATCCATTGGTTGAGCTTTCACTGTATTGGTATTAATAACTGCTACCTACAATATTCTAGTGCATACCTTGAAGTAGTACTATTTCTGTTAACTTTGCAAACTACTCCCTCCGTCACATTTTAGTATTAGATACATCCGTATCTAGACAAATCTAAGACAAGAATTTTGGGACGGAGGGAGTAGATTATTTCTTTGAGCAATGCCAATATGGCATCAACCCGTGCAGAAGTTGTTTATTTCAATTTTACCCTTGGAAACAAAAGATGAACTCGTCAGCTTCATACTCAGATAAACCTCAGGTCATTATATATCTGTTAATGCTCTTCTACAATTGGCCCTTTTTTTGCGGGTTGGCACAGATGTCCATGAACTTGGTGTGTATATGTGTTTTTATTAATTTTAACTTGTGTGTATGATATGGTCGTGACAATTATGCATTGTGATGTGCTTGATTCCTACTAGGAAGTGTAGTGTTTGATGTGGTTTCTTTTCCAACATATAGATTTATGTCTTCCAGGCATGCCTGTTTTTTTGCAATTTTTATTTAGATTTGAAATGCATAGGTCATGGATGTCTATGTTCTGTTCGTGCAACCACTGTGTACTACTCCCTCCGTCCCATAATGTAAGAAGTTTTTTGACACTACATTAGTGTCAAAAAACGTCTTACATTATGGGACGGAGGGAGTAACTTGTAGTGATATACATTCTTTGTGCAGTCTGTCACAAGGGTAAAGCCATACATATGCACGATGCCTTTGAAGCTTGACGATGGCTGGAACAACATCCAGTTGAATCTCTTGGACCTGACAAAAAGAGCCTATGGCACAAACTACGTCGAGACGCTCCGCGTGCAAGTCCATGCAAACTGCCGGCTCCGTAGGGTCTACTTCTCCGACCGCCTCTACTCGGAAGAGGAGCTGCCGGCCGAGTTCAAGCTCTACCTTCCAATTCAGGTGAGTACTGTGCAATGAGGACACCCTTCTGTTATAGAACACCACTACTTGCTCACACAATCCTTCCTTTTATATGAACTTCAGAAATCATAGGGCTCAGACCAAGATGGATGGTTGTGAGTCGTAACTTCCCTTGGAGCCCAGGCGACATCGACGCATTTCACCTCAGCGTCCATCAGCGTGTAACTATGCGTAAAGTATCAGAATGTTTAATGGATGTATCTGGATGTACGCTAATTGTTGTATGGAAGACCTGTGTAAAACTGTTGCTAATTGAACCTCCACTGCTGCTGTACCTGCTTGTCCAAATGCATCGTTAACAGCATGCCCAGAGTGGCCACCCTCTAGTTCACTGCCTCTACGACTACGCCATGATCATGTTGATTCGTACCTCAACATGATATTATAACAAAGATAAATAACACGCCTTACTACTCAACATAAATATCGAATGGGGCACAACCCACTGTAACGGCTGATGATCCACCAAGAAAATAAATGGAGAAAAGAAAAACCGTAGGCTCTCAGCGGTGCTGGAAATCGAAGCAGTCAACACTCAGATACGGGAGGTGTTTTTTTTCTTTTTTTTTGATACATAAACAAAAAGGATACAGAATACATATACTGTAGACCTGGGCCGATTTTCGATCGGGCCTGGTCCGGTATCTCCGTGGGCCCACCTGCGCGGCTGTATGGGAGATTGGTTCGGTACGCTGTTGTACGGACACTCTCGAGGCCTCTATTGTCTAAAAAATAAACTCTCGAGGCCTCTCCCCCGCTGTGCCATCGATCTGCATAAATCCCTCGCCGGAGCGCACTCCCTCCGCTGCCGTGGCTCTCCAGTGGGGGAGAGTCTCCACGCACATTGGGCGTATTTCTCCATCCTCGTCGCGTCACCGTCGACGTCAGTGAGCAGGGGAGGCGGCCACCGTGAGAGGAGGAGGGGGACGAGGAGCACTGGGGTCGCGCGTCGGCACATCTCCGTTGCACCCCACGCCGGGGACCCGTGCGGAAGCGAAGGGCCGAAGGGGATGCGCGCCGGAGCGGCAGGGGACGCCGACCGGCTCTGTTACGGGTAAGACGGATACTGCTGCATCTTTTTAGTCCCACATCGCCGATCTACAAGACTTTGCACCGATTTAAAAGTGCTTCCCTCAGCCAGGCTATCAGCAAGTAGTAATAGAGTAGAGGTAGATAGAGTATAGGGTATAGATACGGTAGTGTGTAGAGGGTCTAGGGTTACAGGGGCGCAGGTACAGGGGGGAGGTATGCCTGAGGCGCAGGTAAAGGGGGGGAACTATGCCCCGGGGGACAGTGGGGGCGGGGGTAGGGGGGAGGTATGCCCGGCGGCGGAGCCGGGCAGCGGGGTAGAGAGGGTGGAGGGTGTATATGCCCGGCGGCGGAGCCAGGCTATAGGGGTGGAGAGGGGAGGGGTATGCCCGGTGAGTCATCTTTGATGATTCCGGTTATTCAAGTGCTCACAGTGAGCAAAGGTGTAATCACACTATGCCAATTCTTGTGTTCTATCTCCAAAAAAAAGCAGTATGTATGCTACCAATACAAAAAAAGGACATGTCCTTTGCTGAAATATTGTTCTATTTAACACGACATATCATAATCAGGATGAGATGCATTGCAATATACTCTATAAACATTGATAAATTGTAATCATCAGGACCCTTTAGTTTAATAAGTTTAGAAGCAGACCTTGTTATGAGCACACTATAAGTAGATCATTAGGTTACAAGCATTCAAGAGTTTAAAAATGCTAAACTTTGTGTCAAGTAAATAGACCCAAAAGACAACCAAAATGCCAAGAATTTCAGTTTATATGGTAATCACGTACTTGTGAAATACAAAAAAAAGACATGTCCTTTGCTGAAATATTGTTC